TTCCAGACAAGTTCAAATACCATGACACTCAATTAAGCACATCACAGGCACACAATTGCACTTACCTGGGCTCTTGATATGCGCAATCTGCAGGTTAGTCTCAAATATATAATTTTCAACCACATGCACATTCCAAATTAATTTCATACTTGAAACACAAATTGATTACATGGCCTTTTCAGTTCCACATTCCACACACTCATTCATGCCTCATCACACTATTTTTCACTCGACTCACCAGTGACCCGCCTAATAGTATCGCCTCAGGTCTACTGCGATTATCTCATATTCACAATACTTCTTAGCCCGCATAATAGTACCGCCTCAGGCTATGTATCTTGCCCGCGTAATAGTACCGTCTCAGGCTCAACATCCACCACCTACGGCACAACCCGCGTTGAAGTACACGCCTCAGGTTGGTAGTCTTCCGATAATACCGGACATCGTCCCGCGTAAAAGTACCGCCTCAGAACGGCACAATTCCCCGCGTAAAAGTACCGCCTCAGGGACTTTCGTGACCACACGCATGGCATTTCACACAATTCCTCATTCATTCACTCGCTCGATTTTTCATATCAACATGCCCAAAACACCAGCCGATCAAATTCAGCCCATGCACGCATCGAACTTCACACATTTCACAGGCTCAATTACACCCAATCATGGCCAATTGCCAGTCAATTCAATTCAGCCCAACATTATACATTCAACCATCACCCGACATGCCATTTTCACTCAAAACCATAGCACAACAATCCCGGCACTACACGACAATTTCACACAATAAATTGCCGAATCCAATTACCCATTCTACGCACCAAACAACATTTTCCAGCATTCAAACCAACCAATTTCAGCCCTTATTTGGCCTCTAATTTTCCACCAAAACATTCCGATTTCGTCCCTAAGGCCCCTAATCCAAAAAAACCCTAAAATTACACTAAATCGCGTCTAAACGGGTCCGTTAATACCCGATAGCCTAAATAGAGTTTAGGACGCCACTTACTTGGAAACCTAAGCTAGCTCAGGCAGAAGGGGAGGGGCAGCAGCCGGCGGCCACACAGCGGCGAACGGCGACGGAGAGCGGCTAAACGATAGCGGCGGCTTGGCGTGGCCGGTCACGGCCATAGGAGAGAGAGAGAGAGAGAGCTCGGCCGAGAGGGAGGGAGAGAGGGACGGCGGCGTGAGGGTGGCGATGGTGCGGCTCGGTGGCCGGACGGGCGGCGATCGTGCGAGCGGTGGTCGGAGCGGCGGCGGTCGGAGCGGCGGCGGCGCGGCCAAGGGGAGAGGAGGCAGTTGGTCGGTGAGAAAGGGGAGAGAGAGAGTTTGCCAGGGGAGAGGGAGAGAGAAATGAAAGGGTGAGAGAGAGAAAATAGGTTAAATAACCAATAATTGACCCCCCTTTGTGTGAAATGACCATCTTGCCCCTCTCTCTACTTTTCAATCAACGGTCGAGATCGAATCTTATCCAAAAATATCCAAGGGTAAAATAGGAATTTCACAAAAATCCAAGGGCAAAATTGTCCAAAAATTGTCATTTCTAAAGTTAGGGTGAAATGACCAAAATGCCCTTCTCCATTTACACTTGGCCTTAACAAATTTCCAGGGGTAAAACGGTCATTTATCATTTCTCGCCGAAATTCGATTTTTCTAAAGGATTTGGGCAATTCTAAGGCTGCTCATACTAATAACAACGTCGTCCAAATGCTCTGTCGTGACTTTCTAAATTTTCAAGGCCCAACTTGATCTCTAATTGATAACTGAATTTTAAATAACGTAACTTGAGTGTGTCTTAGACTAACGAGTGGCTTTTGGGAAATTCGCATATCCAACCCGTGATCGATACTAAATCAAGCTATGTTTAAGCTCACTCGGATCGTGACGACCTCGGTTGTCATATAATTGCGAGGATCGATCGCTAGTTTCAACGGGCACGATCGTTTGGTATAGGTTTAGGGTCATTCGTCAATTCATTTCGTGGTCAAACGGAATCACCCGTGATCCACTCGTATGACAGCGGCGAATCAGCCTATAACTATCCTCAGATCGGCCTACATTGGCTCAAAATATCACCTCGACAATTTTACGGTCGAAAGTCAGTTCACGATCGAATTTCTTTGGTCGCGCGAATTTAAGTCCCTAATTAGCCTTTCCCTAACGGTTAGTATCCCAGGAATGATCAGTTCTAGACGAGATCTAACTACAAGTACGTCCATAAAATCATTCATTTTATAAATCCCAAGTGAGTCAAATTTCAGAATATCACACATCATGAACTACACTAGACCAGATATTGCGCACTCAGTAGGAAAACTGAGCCGATATACTAATAATCTTGATCATGAGCATTGGAATGCTCTTTTGAGAGTATTGGCTTATTTGCAAAGAACCAAAGACTATGTTCTGCAATATGACAAATATCTTGCTGTCTTGGAAGGCTACTGTGATTCCAACTGGATTCTGATTCTAATGAATCAAAATCGACTAGCGGATATGTGTTCACGCTAAGAGGTGCCGCAGTATTGTGGAAATCCTCAAAGCAAACTCTAATGGTGCGCTTCACAATGGAATCAGAGTTTGTTGCTCTGGATAAAATTGCTGAAGAACCAGAGTGGCTTCGACATTTTTTAGAGGATGTTCTATTGTGGCCAAAACTCGTGCCTCCTATATGCATTCATTGTGACAATCTAGCAGCGATTGCAAGGGCACAAAATGTGATATATAACGGTAAGTCTAGATACCGTAAGGCAGTTGCTCTCGAATGGAATAATTTCTTTGGACTTTATGAAGTCAAAGGAAAATATTGCGAATCTGCTGACAAAAGGTTTGTCGAGAGAGCAGGTAAACTGCGCATTGAGGGGAATGAGGTTAAAAGCCTTAACTCAATAAAGAGGTTTCAGGGTGGAAACCTAACCTAGCGATTGGAGATCCCATGGGCCAGGTTCAATAGGACAATACAAATTTTGGAAACTCTAGTATGTGCGTTGTCTCGCACTCCTATGATGCAACAGTGCTTCCTACAGCATTTTAAGGGTACGCTATGCGTTTAATGATTCCTATAGCTACGAATTCAACATCTTAGTAAGGTATGATAGGACACCTTCAATAGAAATGCACCTATATTTGCGGAGCTGGCCGACTCTATGAAAATCTTTAAATGTTAGATTTTCTAAAGCACGCATGAATCCCGATAAGTTCAGGGTCGAAAGAATGAACACAACCGAAAACCAATCTTGATTCGAAGATACTCTGTGTGAGGTCTATTATCAGGGCTTATACCAACAACTGGCGGTTCAAGGCCTAGTTCACCGACAGGTTAAGTATGTCCGATAGACTTTTACTAAAGAAGGTTCCAAGTGAAAGCTACCTATCATGATGCAGTTTATCTCCATAGGCACACTTGGAATTCTTTGAGTCAATTCTGTTGAGCCATTATGTGGGGGATTGTTGTAACCGTTACATGTTAATGGCTCAACATTAGTGCATGTGTAACCGCTATGACATTAGTGCACATATAATCGTTATTTTCCCTCGTCTATAAATAGACGTGTCTTTTTATTTCAAACGAGAGAGAGAAAGAACTCCTTGAAGTACTCCTAGTCCTAGGAAGCACCGACATGCTAGGGAGGCATCCAAGTCGGTGTCGAACACATGTCACGTGTCCGACACGCTCGGACACGCGGTCAACGCGTGTCGAAGATCCAACACGCATTCAACACGCCGGTGACACGCATGTCCCTTCGTCACTGAGAAAGATGAGGAAGAAGGTGTAGCCGAGAGAGATGAGAAAGAACGTGCAGATCTCTGGCGCCGAGGACGACGCCGTCCACGCCGTCATCTCCTTCTCCTCCCGCTTCTCCGGCATTGAGGACGACGCCCTTCATGCCGTCACTCCGTCATCTCCTTTGCCTCGCACTTCGCCGATGACAGAGGATAAGGAAGAGGTGGGAGGAGGGTGCGGGTCGTGCGGAGGAGGAAGCATGCGGAGGAGGCGGAGGGTCGTGAGGAGGAAGAAGAAGATGAAAACCCTAATAACGTGTACTTTTATTTTTGAAAATAATGATAATGAAGCTACAAAAAAAAAAAAAGCGGGTTGGGCTTCCAATGGGCTGCTCTTTTTATTTTTTATCTTGTACTTTCCTTTTTTTTCAAATTTAATTATTTATTTTTAGTTTCTTAGTTTATACATAAGTATTTTTTGAAAACTTATGCGTATAATTTTTTTAGGATAAATTCATTCTAAGCTTTTTATTATTTATTTACTTATTTGGATCGAATTTAAAAATGATAATTTATTATGTATGTATAAAAATATATATTTAATATACAACGTGTCTCAACGTGTCGGAATTCTCTATTTTTTAGAAATGATGTGTCGCGTGTCGTGTCGTGTCGTGTCGCATATCGCGCGTCGGTGCTACTTAGCTCCTAGAGCGTCTCTTGAGTTTTCTCTTCAATAATATTCCTCCAAATGTGCCGGTTTCGAGAAGTATTCGACAGAGTTATGTTCGTATAGTGTTGATACAAATAGGTTCGAGGTGTTGTATTGTGAGAGGAATAGTTTGTGAAGCTACTTAATACCGTTAGCATAAAGTAATCACCTGAAGGAGATTCGATTATCCGTACTTCACCTCCTATTTTATTTTGTTACTGCTTTCTCGAATTTTTTTTTTTTTATTGTAACAAACAGTATTACATATTCTTCTTCCTCCAATACGTAATAATTTTTCCAACAGCCAGATATGCCCACTCCGCAAGAAATAGTCCTCTACCCGAAGACGATCCCGTTCCAACCAAAAAGGAGGGATCCTACTGATTGTAAGGCCCGGCCCAAACTCGGTTTACTTTCGGCCCAGCCGGCAGAACTCCACCAACCTGTCAAGGTGGGAGATTGCAAAGGGGGCCCCTGCGCGTGTTAACTCTGACCACGGGTTTTCGCGAGGTTACCGACTCAACCCTCTTTTTCGCCACCGATCTTCTTTTTCTACACTTCGCCGAGAGAGAGAGAGAGAGAGAGAGAGAGAGGGGAAAGACAGAGTAGGATTATACTTACCGATCCTCTCTGCAGAAGGAGAGAGCGGCGGCATAAGGGAGGCTCGCGCAAACGATGGAGGGAGAAGGCTCCGAGTCGATGGCCGCTCCTCCTCCTCCTCCTCCCAAGATCTTCCACAGCGGCATCTCGCATGGAGTGGATGGGTCGTCTGGAGTAGATTCCGGCTGTTTATGGTCGACTGCTGCTGGAGACGAGAAGGAGCCTAGGGATGGGGACGGTGTGCGGAACACCCCTTCTGCGCCACCCAGATGGCACACTGTTTCTCCCCAGGGGAGTTTGAATCCAAAATTCACCTCTTGGAGAAAGATCCGGAAGTTGGGAAGGGGGTCATTCGCAGATGTCTATAAAATCGAAACTGAGTAAGATTGCCTTGGCTTCTCTCTTTGATAACCGTTTAGTTTATTCTTGGTATACGAGCGAGCGATCTTCGGGGGCGAAGCACGGTCGGCGTTCGCCCATCGTGATGTTTTCATCTGTGCTTAGAATTAGGAACACTTGGGCCAATCCTGCGTGTGCAGTAGAACATGGAATCGTTTGGTTGACATAAGAGGCGCATTTTAAAGAGACGTGACAAACGGTTATCCAATTGCTTAATCTGCTTGATCTTCACGTTAGGGGAATTGGAGTTGTAGCATGACTGGTATGGTACTTCCTTATTGAAGACCATTCTATATTGCCAAACAGATTGATGAAGTAAACATCTTGTATTTCAAAAACCGCATAAATTTAGTTGTTCTCCATCGTTTTTCTGTGACTTTACTAGCTTGAATAGGGTGCAATTTTTTTTTTCTTTTTTTTCTCTTTATATCATCTGGAGTGCACGAATTATCTTAACTATGTTTGGTCTGGGCATCATTCACGAAAGACTTGGCATTTGTATCCTCTCTCTCTCTCTCTCTCTCTCATGCTTCTCTATTTCAACAGTGATGGATTCTTTTTCGCTGTAAAGGAGGTTCCTTTGTGGGATCAAGGACACCAAGGCAAGCTGACGTTATTGCAGCTTGCGAAGGTAACTGCTTGTTTCTTTCTGTATCTTGTGAACTGGCCCTTAGGCATGACTACTTGACTTACCTCGATCTTATAACTGCCAAGCTGATGTATATGTATAAGACTGCCGTGTATGCAACCGTAGACCTGGCGTGTGTTAAATAGATTTTCTTTCTTTTGACTCTTTCTTTCTAGTGATGCTCTGCTTTCTTTTCAGGAAATTAATCTTTATAGACGGTTTGAACATGAGAACATAGTTCGATATATCGGCACAGACAAGGTGTGGTTCCTTCTTACTAAAAGTTGTTTTCTGCAGTATCTTTCACTTTGGCATCAATTATGATATCACTGGAACTGAGCAAAATATTTAGGGGAACATGGCTGTGATTGCAGCCACAATATAGTGGTGGCAGCATCATCGCTGCATGTATTATCTGCAATTATCCTGTGAGTAAGATCACAGCAGTTGCGGCTTTTTAGCAGTAACGGCCACTCATGACAGAGACAGGCATTTTTAGGTTCCCTCCACCACGAGAAGAGTTTGTGTTGAATTGACTATTACCCGTAATAGTAATTATATGAGAAAGAAAATACGTAGAGTAGACGTCAGTTTATGGACTCTCTCTCTCTCTCTCTCTCTCTCTCTCTCTCTCTCTCTCTCTCGTTGAAAGTAATTTTTTTCCTCCCTTCTAAAAAGTGCCTGTCTTGTAATCAATTAACCCTTTGTTTTCTGGTGGTGAATGATTTACAATATCTTGCAAACTGAAGATTCAGGTCAAACTCTCAGTACTAATAAAAAGGAATCAAAGGATGAGAAAGTGAAGTCAGTTAATTCTTCATGGGTCCTTTAATTGACCATTTGATGGTCAGCATGGCTAATGCGCCGACCTTTTCTTCCTCATCTATAACTGGTTACAGCTGTAGCAATAACAATGAAGTTCCTCCACGAGCTGATTTTTTCCATCTATTCTAGTCCAGCGTGTATTTTGTTCTACTACTCATTTTTATGCAACATCATATAGTTCTTACCTCTACAAGTAGAGAAAACTGAAAATGATATTGATCACTATTCAAGTGAGGGAAGTAGTTCCCATCTTAGTGGCTTAAATGTTCAAGGACCTGTTTTTTTCTTCTAAACATAGTTTGGCAAGAAGCATCAGATTCTAAGAAAGTGCCCTGACATAACTTCTTTTTGGAGATGAAACATGGAAAATATTGTTGCTTTTAGACCAAATTTGGTTTACTACACCTCCATTCCACCACATTGTTTTGTGGCAATGAGGGATTAACGAAATAGGACCCCTCCTTCTTCCGCCAGGTGCGCTGTGCAACTTTCTTTTGTCGTTACCGATGCAAGTTGAAACCGTGGTGAACGCTTATAACTTGGATATTTGTGTTGTAAAAGGAAACCAACAAAAGAGGAGCTCGGTCCCATGCGTTCTTGCCTTATTTTCCTATTTAAGTACAAAATTACTTTTAAATTCTCATCTGATGTAAACATTTACTAAATTAACCCCATCCAGCAGATTTTCACTAGACAATGATCGTTTATTGAGGAGGTCCTTGGTACCAAAGTGCAATTCAGGAAGCATAACCAACTTAACAATGATTTCTAGTCTCTGCAAAAGTAATTTCCTCAGGGCCTTGTCTAGGAACCTCTCGGCTTCGTACCTTGATTGCTGTGGGGAGGGTGTTGTCTTGATCCAATGAATAGTTAGGCGTTAACAGAGGCCCAGACATCCAGGATCATTAGGATGAGAAAAACGTTAATGTCACTGATGTTTGTTTCATTCTATTTGCTATCTGGTATGGTTGTCTCTAATCGATCTTGTTAAAATATCCCATATAGTTTGTTTATCGGGTTTCGATGGGCCTTATATAGGTGTAGCCTCCTTCCACCTAATAGCATAAGTTTTTGGGTTTTGACACAATTTCAGAACCAGGTTCTGCCACATTTTATTTCCGTACATCACTTACTCTTCGGCAGTTCCATGTGCCGTTCTCAATCCTTTTGCACGTGAGAGGGGCTGTTATAGTATTCCACATCGCTTGTTTATGTAGTTTCAATGTGCCTTATAAACTTTGTATCGGTTCACCTAATAGCTTAAACTTTTGAGTTGGATATTCTAACATATATGATTTTCACTCCATTCCAGGATAATAAGAAGCTTTACGTATTCCTTGAGCTCATGCCCAAAGGTTCACTTACAACTCTTTATGCCAAATGCAGCTTGACAGAATCCCAAGTCTCTGCATACACTAGGCAAATTCTAGATGGTTTAAATTATCTTCATGACCAGATTGGTTGTTGAGGAGGTCCTCAATACCAAGTGCATTTGAGGAAGCGTAACCAACCTCAGGGCCTTGTCTAGGGGCCTCTTGCCTTGGTACACCGGATTGCTGTGGGTAGGGGATCCGATGATTAGTTTGGTGTTATAAGAGTCCTAGACGTCCAGCACAATTAAAATGAAAAAAGTGTTAACATCACTGATGTAGTATGCTTTATTTTATTTGCTATTTGGTATATTGTCCCTTATGTATCTTGTTAAAATATCTCATATCGTTTGTTTCTAGGGTTTCGATGGGCCTTATATACATGTAGCCTCTTTCCACCTCATAGCTTAATCTTCTAGGTTCTAACATTGTTTCAGAGCTATCCCTTAATTTATTTCCGTGTGTGGCTCTCTTTTCATCAATTCTATGTGCTATTCTCAGTTCGGTTTGCACGTGTGAGGAGGTGTTAAAGTATTCCCTATGTGGTTTGAATGTGCCTTTATATACATTTTTGTCTTCCTCCACCTAATAATTTGAAATTTTTGGGTTGGATTTTTCTCTTCCAGGATGATAAGAAGCTTTACATTTTCCTTGAGCTCATGACCAAAGGTTCACTTGCAACCCTTTATCACAAATATAACTTGACAGATTCCCAAGTCTCTGCATTCACTAGGCAAATTCTAAATGGTTTGAAGTATCTTCATGACCAGAATGTGGTCCACAGGTATTATAAGAGAGATGCTTGACTTTGCATGTACTTTTGACTAATTGAAATAGTGATTCCCACTTCTCATTTCTGATGGAAGGTTGATTTTGTTAAGGAAAGAGATCATAACCAAACAAAGAGCACATTGAAATATATATATTTTGTTTCATGGCACACCCCCATGGTGCCTTTTGATAATACATTTTTTTACTTATCCAAATACTTTTTGTGGATTTAAGGGAGTTGTCAAATCTTTAAACCAAAACGCAGTGTTATGAGAAGTAGATTTCTTGTGATAATCAGTAAATGACGAAGTAACATTACGAGCTTGTTCAGCAATATTTAGCACAGACAAGATTATTTTACTATGTGAATGGTTGAAGGTGGAAGAGGGATGAGAATTTTAACCTTTTGTATATCCTACTTGCATCTGTACTGGTTTCTCATGCTTCCAGTTCCTTCATTCTGTAGGGATATCAAATGTGCTAACATACTGGTTGATGCGGGTGGATCTGTGAAACTTGCAGACTTTGGATTGGCGAAGGTATGTCCCATCAGCGAAAGTAAACTCTCTCTCTCTCTGCGTGCGCGCGCGAGTAGCAAAGGCACGTGCTCAAAAACATACGCATGCAGAAACCGCTTGCGAGCAACAAAGATGCATGTACAAATACGTACTCATGCGCGCACGACAAACACAGGCATAGACATGCACAAAGTGAAGCATGCATTGCCTTTTACTTTTCCAAGATAACATATCAACTCTCTGTGTTCATCCATACAGGCCACCGAAATGAGGGCCGCTAAATCCTTCTTAGGAACTACTCAATGGATTGCGCCTGAGGTTTGCACTCTCCGCTGCCATTGTTTTAAAATACCATTGTTGGCTGTAGAAGGCGCATATCTTTCCCATTTCTTTTTCATCCTCGTCGGTTGTTACTGCAGGTCGTCAAAAGTTTAAAGAACGGGAGCTATGAGTTGGCAGCTGATATTTGGAGCCTTGGGTGCACTGTTTTGGAGATGTTAACACGAGAGCCTCCATATTCTCACCTAGGACCGGTATGTAATTAAGTAACCTTCTTTTTATGTTTTATATCCTCAAGAATTTAGGGTTGTCAGAGCCCAACTGAAATTTTGTGAATTTTTGGTTTTCGGCTCGGATAATGGAAAAAATAACGTTCTTTTTTTTTTCCCGGTTTGGTTTATTTCGGCTCGATTAACATAACCGAGCCGAACCATTAACACCCCTACTCGAGGTCCATGTTATGCCGGAGTTACTACCATAAGTTGAGCGCATATTGTGATGAGTCCATTAGGCCGTCATTCTGAGAAAGCAAAATGAGTAAGCGCACTACATAGAAAAGAGAGAGGACAGCGAATTCAATGACAATCATCAAGAGTAGGGTCGTGTCAAAACGATATGCATAGTATTTATGGCCGATGGTTGGTTGGGATTCTAGAGCAAATGATTAGTTAACATGGTGTGAAAACTCGGCTGAACATTTGAATCTTGACTCTCTTTTTTAAGTAATTTGGCATTGTTGTCTAATACTTTTAATCACTAGTAACACTGAGTGTGCGGTGGCAGGCGTTGAGATTATCACATATTGTATATATGTAAATAGTATCCCACCTGTAGATATTGGGTACACATGTAACCCTACCATTCAGTCTCAAGAATCTCTCCATCTTCTCCTTCTCTGTCACACGGTACTTGAGCAACCAAGAGAGATTCAAATTCTAACATCGTCATCGCCATCTCTGCTCCAGTTTTGATGAGAGCAGCACTGACAGTGATTATTCCCTTCTAAGTCCTTTCATTGTGTAATGTCCTCCGATCTGTCACTCACCATTATCGACCTTGGTGATTTCCTCATCGCCTTCGAGTGTTGATTCTCCGCCGCTTCTCTCTGAATCAACTGTTGACCTAGATGGCTGTCTTCTCTACTTGGGTGGGTTACTTTGGATATGGAAGTTAGGTACTTTCTCAATTTGGTTGGTAACTTTCGAATATTATGACGATTTTCATGTTCTATGTCAAGTTGGCAACTTCTCCATACACATAGTAAGTTTTCCATCAGGGATGGTAATTAACTGATGTCGGGCACAACGGCACAGAAACCTTCTTTTGTTGATAGAATGGCTGCTGCTTAAGTTTGGAGTGCTCTGGTCTTGTGAGTGAATTGTGAAGGTTGCACTGCTTTGTGCTTATCTTTGGATTTTGTTTATTATAAAGGCAAAAAAGTAGTACCATCCTACTCAAAGCCATCATAAAACATGCAACTAACGCCCCCGTCTTTTACTTTTCCATCAAATTTTGGACATTCGAGAATTTCAAGCAAAAAGCAACAGATACTTATGTTTAATTAGGAGTAGTTGGCAAACATTTATGCAGTTGGTTCCTGTGAACTGTTGTTAACATGGCAGATGATTGCCCGAAGTATGATGCGCGTAGATTTGTCGACGGATCTTATTGGTTTATCCAGCCGTCACATGTTAGTTCCCCCCTGGATTTATGATTAACACTATTGCCCCTGCTTCGTGTTCTTTCTTATTGTGGCAGATGGAAGCATTGGAAGAAATCAGAGCGGGCGTACTTCCTGAAGTTCCGGAGTCTTTATCAACAGACGCTCAAGACTTCATCCGCAAATGCTTGTGTGTAGACCCAAAGGATCGGCCTTCGGCTGCAAAGTTGCTAGGCCATCCCTTTGTGAGGAAGCCACCTACTTCTTCTGGTTTTTTTGCTCCACCTCGTTAAAAAATCGTATTGTCACAAGGTTTTGCCATGCCATCCCTTTTCGATTCGTTGCTCCTGAAGATATCTCCATCAACTTACCACATCTCTACTCTCCAAAGATTTATAACTCTTAACAGTCTACGCTAAACTTTTAAATTGGAGCAACCAGTCCATGTATCTGTAGTGTCTATGGTCCATTTTCCAATTCCCTAGCAAACTTGTCACATTCTATGGTTTTCTCCGTAAGTTTTAATTATGCCTCCAGATCGTCCTGAAAGTTTCTGTAGCGGTTAATTGGTATGCAATAGGTTAATTGGCATTTCCATAAGGGAGAGGTGTGAGCAAGTGACTGTCACGCCATGAAAACAGCCATAGCTGCAGTTTCCCTCAGCATATATCTGAATTTAGGAATATCAACATGAAAGTTTTGGTAGCATGACGGTGACCACGACACTTTGAGAAATGGAAGTGGATAAATATGCTTCGTACTTCCTGCAATTGTCGAACCTTCTCGCAAAGTGGCCTCATGTCTAAAGAGCTTTTATTGGACACTGGACGGAAGCCCCAGACTACTTAAAGGAGCAACTTAATCGAATGGCCTCGCCTTCTTTTGTGGGTGGGTGTTTTTTGGAAGATTGTTGGTCTCCCAAAGCAAATGGTCTCATGTTTTAAAGCATCGGGGTGGACGCGACGGTTATTAGATGTTTTTCATGTCTCGACTTTTTTTAGCAGCCTCGATGGTGTCGAAACTCTTTGATTTTTAGACTCCTCCTTTTGTTGTTTTGATTGCAGACCAAGTCCTTCCAGCTAAAGAGTTTTAACTCACCGTGGTAGACATTCGGATAGGAAAAAACAGGATGGAGCAGTATTCAGCTTTCTCTGGTGTTTGTGTAAATCTTATAAGCTGAAATGCCGAGGGTGTCGTCATGGTTTCTCCTACTTAAATCGTAGGTGGCGTGCTCGAATGCTGCTGCATTTCTTTGAACCACTCGATGGTCGGCGGCATATTGATGGCTGGCAAACACTCCCTAAGGCATCGCCAAGCTTATAATGTAGTACTTTTTCTTCTGCCAGGTAACATCTCTTTGGCAGTGGAGGGCCATCTCTATTAAATTGGAACTTCTCAAAGATCGACTGTCCTTGCGAACGGTAGTCTTGGGCTGCAACTGATTTTCTGGTGTCTTTCGTCTGCTCGAGATGAGCACGCCTTGTTTATCTGGGAATTGCAAATAGCATGTCATGGTTTATATTTTCCGTTAGAAAGAAAGGAAGAAAACAAAGATGGCGACGAGGCAGCGCATCTGATGACAATTTTTCTGCCTCTAGGAAGCGTAGATAGGTGCACCCATCTTCTACAGGATCAAAGATTGGACACACATAGAGTTCTGCGGCGGAATGCGCATTAGCTTCCTTTCCGTTTGTTTTTATTTAACGACACGTCGCTTCAAGAGGAGCACTCGTATTGTGCGATGAAAATTTCGTACCGACAACAATCGGGTCCATCGACGCAAGGAGCGAAAACTGATTTTACAATTGTGGTATACACTCACGCTCAACATCTAGGAGTTCCAAACTTTTTTCTCCTATCCTTGTTTCATTCTTGTCCATTTTAGATCTTCCTTTTGTGTAAATGTCTCTTGATTGGGAGTGTGTAGTATATGGCTGAGAGCATAAATGGGTTATGAGGGCACTATCTGGGCAAGCATTTCCTTTCCTTTCCTTTCCTTTCTCAATGTTTATTTCCAATGGCCAAATTTTCTACTGCATAAATATCGATTGGAGCTTAAAGTGGCGATTCATTTTCATCCCATTTATGCTTGAAAATGATCAAATCTTCACGTTGACATCACAAAACTTATACTTAAGTTGGCAATTGGGTTTCTGACTTATGAGGCTACCTTTTTCTCTTGGCATTTGAGATCCACTCTTCATTTTCTTCAAATTGCTGAGAATCTCCCCACGATACCATGAGGGTTAATCAAACGTGCATTCCTCTCAATTCATGTCTAAAAGTAACTGTCAAGAGTACAAAATATGCTGCCGGAGCTTTTCTATTGTACACAAAAGGTGTGCCCACCGAGTTGGTTGTGAACATTTCAATTTGAAGAAACACCCTTTCTTGATATGTCCGACTCAACCGAACCTTAGGGAATCGTTGGCTCAAGTATTTCATTGTGATACCTCAAATATTGCAATAAAAACAACCCTGCAAAGTTTTGACTGGATTGACAATTTCATTTTCGCAAGACTAGAAGACACATCTGCTTGTTTAAGTACAATAAGGCATATACATAATGAGGCAATTGTGTACCCAAGTCGCAGAGAGACCAGTCGGTTGAGAAGCAAGCAATGAAACGGCAGTTGCTTGATCAGAAAACAAAAAAGACCGAGAAAACGAGGATTTACGATGGTGTCGTATAGCTTTCTGTTTTTGATGATTCGCATGCTTCAATCACCGAACTCATTTGTGCAGGCAAGGAGGCTCTGTAGTCCGCCGAGATAGAATTAGCAGTCTCCGAGAGATTGGTCTTCATCTCCGAGATTTTGCATTCCATATACTCTTTGTGCTTTGAGACCATATCGACCAGTGAAAAGAGCTCGAAAGCGCACCTCTGGATTTCTTCTTCGCTTTCTTTGATGGCTTCCTGCTGCTTTATTTTAGATGTCTACAAAAACAAGTGGTGACAACAAATCACGCCGCGTGAAACTATACATGCTTACTCTACAAGAACAATCTTCTACCGAAGATCGATCGATCACGTTCCAAAAGTCAGGAATCCTACTGATTGTATGGCACGACTTTAATTCTGTTAACTTTCAGCACAAAAGATTTCTAGCCATATATTTTGGTGCCAGAATTCAAATAATTAGACCATTCCATACCTTCAAGACCTCTGCAGCTTCTCTTTCCACGATGTTCAAGTTATGAGCTTCTACTTCAACATCCTCCACCATCCTTTGCACCTCCAGTGCACATCTGTGAATGTAGTCTTGCATTTCTTGCTTCAGTAGATTCATTTGACCTTCAAGCTGCGCAAATTCTTGCATTAGAGCTTTTGCCAATACAAGGAAAGAAGAGACAAGTAGACCAAAAATTCTTGCATTATGCTAACTATCATGATGTAATATCATGCTACTGTCCTTCAGATGTTACGGGATTATGCACTTCGATATGTACAGCATGTGTTAACGTACAATATGTTTCCTGACACCAGTGATAACATTTTTTAGCTAGTTTTGTTCTCAAAGGACACCCACACCATATGCTTCTACAGCTCCACATATTATGCTGAGCATTAACAGAAAGAAAAATAATTTCAAACATCAACAGAATCCTACTTCGTGTAGGTAATGGTGAGTTCTATGACTGCTTTGTTCTAAAAGTATATCACGCACTAAATCGAAACTCTTCAATACTAAAATCAACAAAAATTTTCTCAACGGCCATTAACTACCCAGAACAAGCTGTTGCTACTCAATCCCTCAGCTCTACATAACGAACCTCTAGTGATCCTGTCAATACACCCACACTAGGTTGGATGCTATCGCCAATTTCTCTTTTTAGTTTCACCAACAAATTTTTAATTTCATCAAGTATCATAGTTTTCATCAAGAAGTCAAAAACTAACTTTCAGGTCTAAGACATAAGCACAGTCTGAACACATCGTGGGTTGGTAATTAATCTAAGCACTTACTTCATCAACACGTGAATGAAGTTGCAAAACACGGTTTCTCTTCTCCTCGATTCTAGCAGCAGTTTCTTTGGACTGCTGCTGAAGGATGATTAACTCTTCAAGTTTCTCCACCGAGCTTTTGTTTATGTCATCGGCATGCATGTCGAGTGCCGGCTTCAGTGTCGACTTGTAGTCAATGCCCATCACCTCCGCAGGTGTAGACCCTTTTGCATTCAACATATACTGGTAATCTGAACCAAGCTTTAACCTAGAATCACAAAACAAAAGAGTAGTTGAAGGAGGAGGACTACAGAAAATCACTCCAAAAGAAAGACATCACTCGATGGGATGTTAACATCGTAATGAAAGCTGTACAACCTCAAACACGGCACTTGGAATAAGTCAACGCATTATTTATGGTTATTAACCTCAGAACAACTTAGCATGAAAAGACAAACAAAAACTACGGCATCACTTCTTGATGAGATCAAGACAATTAAACTCATCACATGCTGAATCTGTATAGGCACAAGAACTAGCACTGAAGAGATACAGACACACAAATTACATGAGAATGTAGGTCTGTTGGTCTTGAAGAATTCCATGAGATATCAACCAGCGTATTGTCTATAACCCAAAACAGCAAACATACCCAGCTTCAACCTTATGAGGGCTAGATGATTTCCAAGATGGCATCCAAAGCATCCAAATACCAAAGGCACATGACATAGATAATTTCAAGACCAATAAAGAAAGAACAGATTAACAAGATTGCAGCAACTGCAAGAATTAGAACTTACTTCCGGACAGCCTTGTTGCATTCCTTGGCAAGTTCCTCGAGCTCCTTGAATTTGAGCGCGAGGGTCCGGTCAAGATCCCAGCACCTCTCCTCGTACTTGTTCCTCTCGATTTCAGCATCGGCGATCTCCCCCTCCACCGCCTGCAGCTCCTTCTTCATCCTCTCCGCGTCCCTCGAATTAAACCTCTGCAGCTGGATCGTCTTCTTCAATTCCTCGTTCTCCTCGCAGATCCTCCCCTTCTCCTCGTCCTTGGCCCTCAGCTCCTTCTCCTTCTCTTCCAATTCCTTCTCCAGCGCCGAGTTCCTCGCCGTGAACTCCCCTATGATCGTATTGAACTTCTTCACGTCTCCCTCGAGCACGCTCTTCTCCTGCTCGCGCAGCTCCCGCTCCGACGGCCCCGTCCTCAGCTTCTCGACCCTCGCCTCGACTTCCGCGGCGTTCTTCTCCAAGCGCTTCACGTTCTCGGCGAGGTTATTCCTCTCCTCCTCCAACTTCTCAACAAACTCCCTATCCAGCGCATCGACGGAGTCGTCGTCTCCGCCGATGAAATGCAGGTAGCTCTGGAGCGCATACTCGTCCATGGTGTTGTTATCCCCAAACGAGCGAGACTTAGAGGCCAAGTGCTCGTTGTACGACGCGATCTGCACCAGCCAGTGCAAGACGGCGACGAAGGTCGGCCAGGCGTGGGGGGTGGCCGGCGTGCGGAGGGCCGACTTGTTGACCTTGAACGGGCAGTTGAGCGACCGGAGGAGGACGGGGAGGTCGTCCTCCATCTTAGGGTTCGGGTAGTCGAGCTGAGAGATGACGAAGTTGAAGATGGCGGTGATGTCCTTTAGATGAGGACAGGGAAGACGTGAGAGGAGAGGTAGCAGATGACGGCGCGGCCGGCGGACTGCCGGTAGGAGCGGTCGTTGACGAGGTCGGCGGCTGCCGAGGAGCGGCCGACGCCGACGGAGGAGGGGCGGCTGCTGGCGAAGCTGGCGTCGGAGTCGCGGCCCCCGGCGCCGGCGCCGCCGAACTGGCGGAGGCCCGGCGGCGGGGGGGGAGGGGCGAAGGAAGGCTTCGCGCGGCCGCGGCCTCGGCTCTTCATGGCGTTTTCTCACCTCTTCCGATTTCGCGAGGACAGGAGCGGGGAGGCGGATCGCCGATCAAATTGGGAAAATGGGAATTAATTTCTTTTTCCCTTTTTCTCTCTTCTTTTTTGCAGAAAATAGGAAATTAATTCGAATTTGGAATTCGGGTGAGATTTTCCCGCCAAAAATGCAAACAGGTTTTTTTCATTGATTTTTTTTATGTTTCATTTTCTATGCCTCGCTTCTGTTTTCTACGAGTGCCACTGAATGCGCGGTGTCTTGAAATCTTGCCTTATCTAAGAGAGACAGCAGCGAAAGAAAATGGTTGTGAACTTACACAGTTGCTCGAAGAACCGCTCCCTCAACCGCATCCCTGCTGTAATCACGTTGCGTATCGTCATGATTTATGTACAAGAGGACGGTGACATGCAAAGACTTTGAAAGTTTTCGAGCAGGCAGCCGAGATCTATAGCCAGGGTGGTCTGATGGCGCAAAACCGCTCTAAGGAACTGTTGCTCTGAGGGGATTGTAGGAGCATCTGGGTAAGCAGGAAGAGCATTTTCATAGACTGAAAAACAGCAGCTATCCTCCCATCGTACGGTTTTATGACACTGTGGGCATATACAATTGAGTTAGCCTAACTCAGAGTAATTTGTTCACAACCTGAGCTCGAACTTGAAAAGGAAAGAGTCGGATAAAAAGTGAGTCCAGTATTGAATTTTACTTTTTTTAATGTCAAATGGGTTCGGTCATATTATATTATCGATCTAACTAAACTAGAATACCATAATTCTCATTGTCTATTGGAAAGTATCAATGTCAAATGTAGATTGGATAGATAGGCCGGAAAATGTGATGTCTCGAACACTATAATGCATAAGTCAGATTGGCTGCTCGGACTACAAGGCAATCACGCCGAAAGAAAAAAAAAAACATTTCTCAGCGCAACAAAATCGAATTTGTTCAAATGTTTGAAGGCGGCTCGAGAAACATGGCCATCCAGACACCGACGACGAGCTACGACGCATCGAATTCACTGCCACAGATCGGGTCAATCGCACCGACCGCCCAAAGTCAGATTTAAACATAATAGAGAGATGGCTAAGCTGCATCTTCGTCTCCGGAGCTCAACAGGCAAGCAAGAAGAAAACTTTTGAGATCTCCGTATACTAATTGTCGACAGGCATAAAAAGGCGTACTTCATCGTATTCACAACACATTCGGTATAAGATATAACAATACGCTCATCATATTTACAGCACATACAGTCTGAAAAAATCACTCATTGTGCTGCTCTCTGCAGACCAGCAGAAAGAAAAAACTCTACCCTCATAAAACTTACATGTCGAAATAGCTTCAACGATTCGATAAGTCGATGGGAGATGGGAGTATGGAAATTCTATGTTGGACTGGAAAACTATCTTAAGAACTTCATGGGTTTCAGCAAATCGCAGGGGGACTAACATTTATTCTTACCACATACAGAATACTTCCATTGTACAGCTGCAAAGGTGTGATCTAGGCCTAGAATTTTCCTCAGAAAAATGAAAATTCAAGGACATAGTGAGAATAACTACAATGCTATAAATCCATTTTTCTCTTTATTCCTGTGGGAACACCATAACATACCGGCGATGCCCCGATTAAGAATGGCAGGGTGCAAGCTTCGCGAGCCTGACCCATGAACGATCCAATCATCGGTTTATGGCGACAAGTATCTGTGCATATCTTAGTATTGGAAAGTTCCGGCGATTTCTTTTTGGATAGTTTCTTTCTGGGATTACCTCCATTGTTCTTTAAATCGATTGCCTTGAACTCATTTGCTAAGGAACTACACGGAGCACATCCAGTGGAATTTGACCTTTCCTTCAACCATGCATCCAGCATGGCCTTGCCGAACCGGTCGATATCCTTGTCGGTCACTTCCCATAAATTGGCAATAATGACAGGAGAACCGGCTAAGAGGTAGGACAATGATGTACCTTCTGGAACATACGCCCCATTAAGAAGCAGAGAACCGCTACTACACCCCATTAGAAGAGTAGCGGCACAAGTGTCCAGCTTCTGAATCTCATGACGTGGAATATATTGCGATCCTGTGTCAGGAAGTCCCGATATAACATTTCAGTGTCATGTAGAATATGTAGTAGCATTACATCAGTTCCAGGAGTAGGTCGAAATTCAGAGTAAAATAAGGAAATTTACCGCTCCCATGGCCAAAATAAATAAAGAGGTCATGGCTTGTCAAGGCAAGGGCCAATTCTTTCGGCACAGGTGCAAAACCGGCATTACCCTGTTTGTTAAATCACATTAGATTTAGTCTAAATAAACAGATCACAAACAATTTAATGTTATGACCGTCTTATTCTCTAGTGTCAACTGAAAAATGCAATCTATTTCAAGTTGGAGGTTCTCTCTGGTACATTTGCATTCGTTATCCGTTCATTTTTTTTAGACTACAGAGAGTACCTTCAGCTTTTGATCTCTAAACCAGTTCTCAAATTCAACTTGCGTGCTGCTGAGATCGCCACTGGGATTCAACAGATAATATGCATCCAACGGATCTATAAATGGAAAAGAAGCAATAGGTCCAACTTGCTGCTCCTCACGCTGAGAGCTCCTATCCAGTGTCAGGAAAATGCTGCCTACAGAAGGCATACGATAAACCTCCTGGTTTCTTAGAGCCGGTAAGTTCTCCCATGGGAGCATCTGCAGAAAATTGTACGTGGAATCGAATGAAAATTGCTAAGCAAGACAACAAAGGAAAAACTACAACATGCCCCATAACTTGTGAAACAACCCCAATCAAGAAAATTACAACAAAATAAGCATTACCCCACTAGGAGGGGTCAGCTCTATGAATCCTTTTATGTCATTGCGCTCGATTTCCTGTCAAATCTTATGAAAGATCTAAATACTCCACATGACCTATGACAAAATTTCCAAAGACATTTTCTAGTGGAACATGACGGTGCAGATAATAGACGGCACCTTGCCGGGGTACGGCACATCTAAGTCAAAATTTCGCTGGATGAATGGGGGAAATACCAACACAAGGCCAAACCTCAATTTTATGTTGATAGCATTACGTGCGCTTACGGTTTAGAATTGAGAACCACATGACACTAGAAACTCCTAACTTTTTGCCTTCTGATAGCATAAAAAGAATATGTAACAAAAAAAAAAAAGAAATTACTTGAAGGAATATACATTTTAATATGGCCCTTAGCCCAAAAACTCTGCCACCAAAAGAACTAAGTACCAAAATTCCAGCCATTGGTTTTAAAATCAGATACTGCAAAAATTCAATCAAGTATGCCACCCTTAAGCCAGGAAAAGTTAGAGAATTAAATCTAATATGAGATGTAAAGTTAAGGGAGGGGCAGACAAACCTGCACCTCGCTATCCAACACTAAAATAATTGGCTCTCCATACATATGATCTTCCTCTTCAAGCTCCTTTATTGCTTCATGAATCAATTGAAAGGCCAGCTCAGACAATTCACCCGCTCCTTCACATGCAAACGATGGAATCCTGTCCCTTTCTTCGACATATTGATTTATGCTACCAATATAACAAGTTCTGTTTGACTGTAACAGTGGTATTAAAGCTTCCCTTTTACTGCCCAATTTTACCCCTCCAAGTATAACCTTAAGCAAACCTGCATCAATGTTGATTTTGCACTTACGTTTCAGGTCACAAACCAGTTTCTTTAGCACAGTGTCCATTCGTGTGCAATTCAACGATCCTCCAAGAAGCAGGCATCTCCAAGGTCCCAACCATGATTCTTCTAATTTCCTAGTTTGTATCGACAAAACATAAGCAAATAGCATTAGTCTAATTTCAAGCTTATGGACAGAATGCCGCAACAGCAACACTGCAAAAAATAAAGAACGTAAAAAAATGAGCGGTATCATCATAACTGTAATGACCATGCCTGTCTACTGGCTGAGCATGCTCGGAAGGACTCACCCTAGCAATTTACCCAGGCGGAGATCAAGATTCTTTCTCTTAGTCCACCATAACAGCCTATTTTCTTTAGTATCTTCCAAAGCATGGAGAGAACATGACAAGTAATTTTCCTCCAGGATCTCCTTAAATGTGGGAACTACATTGTCGACCACACTGGAACCCCAGGGACAATGCCAATGCTTATCCAGCGACTTGTTGCTAGAAGAAGATTCATCTTCTGAATTTGAAACTGCATCAAAATCATCTGAGAAATTTTGAAAAGGTTAAGTCAAATTAGCTCCCATGCTAGACTGCATCATAAGTACTGCAAAATTCCCATAACTAATATTCACGGAGCAAATTGGAAGTACCTTCCAATATTGGATCCAAGGGCATAAGGACAACAATAGGTTGCGAGCCGCGGTTCAAGCGAGTAAAAATCATCCATGCATGGATATGAGAAGGACAAAGCAATAGCTCTTGCAACAACTTAGCATCAGAACCATCAACAACACTTATACAGAGCACTGTGGCACAAGGAAGACACCCAAAGAATCTTCTAACAAGATCTTCAAGATTTTGAATAGATTCTGGTGCAAGCCTGCAGCAAGAAAACAAAACCAGGTTCAGTGAATTTGACGCAGAACATAAGGGAGATAAAATCTAAATCTTCGTAGATTTGGCAAAATCAATCTTCTTGATGGAATTGATCTACTACTCGTTCACATCAGTATATGTATATCAGCAAGTTACATAATTGGCTATGCTACTTGGAAAAGAGACCTCAGATATTTGCATAGATCTTTCTTCCCGATTGCTTCCATGATAGAAGTTGTGCCAGCAGCAATCAGTCCCTGGCCCTAAAAGATGTTCATGTTAGCTATTAGATAAACCCTAGAGAAGAAATAAAAGAGAATTGTACTTCCTATCCTTCGCCTACTTTGAAATAAGAAGTGAACATGAGATACCTCGGCATCCAACATGGTACGAGCTTTGCATTTCTGAAATGCGTTATAGGTGAACAGGTGGTTAACATGAGCACCTAGAGAAGCTTGATGAAAAAATGAAGCCCAATGGTTTTCCGAAAGCGCATCAGAAGACAAATA